GATACGTACATAAATTAGTTTTCAAATTTGAATGGAGAACTTTAACTGCACTTTAGCTTGGTGGCAACGGTAGCAATGATGACGAGAATGATGCCGGTGGTGATGGTAGTTATCGTTATGATGTGATGTGTGTTATAATCACAGCCATTTTCCTTTGTATGTGTATTTTCTTCTTTTTTTTTCTTTTTTTTTTTTCTTACTTTGATAATGTTTTCTTATTTGACGCATGCGCAGTGATTTTTACGCCTTAATGGCGTTAAAACGATAAATTACGTTTTATTGTGTTTTTAAGGTGTTAAGTGCTTATGTGATGTGTCCCCAAATTAGCAAAAACGAGCAAAAGGTAAAATCCTTTGTTCTGCATTTCAGTTATTTTACTGTTTATGCGTTGCTCTGATACCATCATCATTATGATGATATCGGAATTTCGTGATGAGACTGTTTACACACGTATTATGTCAGATGAACAATAGACGTGAGTTTATATGAATTTGTACAGTTGGGATTGTTGTTGTTATTTTACGATAATTACTTCTTCCGCTTTTGATTAAGGCTAGCAAGACTTAATAAATAAATAATTGTCGCTAAAGCCGCTATCCAATCAAGTTGGCCAAGTGCTTTAATTATGTATGAAACGCTGCCAACAGCGTTTCAATTAAAATTTTCTTCAAGTTGATTCGATTAGCGCGAGAAAAATGCCTCCTATAAAGTTATTCTACCTTTAAAAAGGAACCTCTTGCAAAATCACTTACTTGATGCTAGGTGCCTCGAATTCTAGTGGGGTCTTGCGACGCATTATCATGATGCGTATAAAATGCCTTTGTAGAATAAATAGAAGGATCGATTTGATTTTCTATGTTAACATTGTTACTCTCTTGCCGATTAAACTTATATTATATATCTTAAAGTAGATAATTAAAATGCGTACAGCGTTCGAAATGTAGCGTACGGACATACATATATAAACACGAATTAACCAAATCATATATCATAAATATACCCGTGCGAAAGAGTATATCAATCAAGTAACATCAATAATAAGTAAACCTATGCACTTGACGAGGTCTAACGTGATCAGCCTATTTTTGAGACGCGTATGTGACAATATATGCACGTTAAACTTTTTTCTCTAAAGTCAGTCGGTGCAGAAGCAAATGTGAACTGCTATGACTGAATAAAATGGCTTAATGCAACGAGCGAAGCTAACGTAGGCGAAGTACGATAAGCAATTGTGTGAATCCTAAAGGGACGTTCTTTGTTATGGGAAGTTTTTCTAAGCGCTACAAAGTACACTAGATTAATTGCGAAATTGAATCATAGCAGAGTATATAAATAACGAAAGGTAAAATAACATAAATTGGTTTGCAGGGTTCCCTGTGGGAAAAGTTTGCACTAAGCTGCTCAGCTTTCGCGCACGCGATTAAACTACATAATAGCTTTTAACCTATGCTGAAATTGGGAATATTTTCAACTTGGATCTACTTCGAACGAACGCCATCTATAGATCCGAAAGTCAGCTTTTGAATGGTGGTTGATTGGGAAGCCTTCAACTAAAATGTACACATATTACTGAATACATACTAATGCCCACTTCGTCCCGAAAAATTCAAAAAATGTCGTATCTTTTGACATGTTAAATTTCCGCTTGTAGCGCAATATTTATAAGAATTTGAAGAGGAGGGTCCCTCCTTCATTATACCGATCGATTGAGAAAGTGATTTTGAAGTTTGTGTGCCCGTCTGATTCTTTATTTTCTTGTTTTCAACGTAAAGACCGCAATTTTTGAGATTTTTTCACTGGTGTATTTCGGCTCAAGCATAAGCGCTATTAAAACTGTTCCGAATCGGACCGCTTTTACCTTATTTTCAAAAATCGTGATACCAATAGTTGTAGAATATTGGAGAATGCCTCATAAACTATTTTTAGGCGTTTTTCTTCTAAACTATTACATATAATAAAAGATCAATATAACAAATTCAGCATACTTCCTTCAATAATCTCATCCTTTCGACCATTTCCCACATAATACATCATATTCAAAACTTATCTTGAATTCGTTCAACTTATAACTCATATGATCTTAATTAATTAGAGACTGACTTGACACTACATATATATAGGTTTATTTGACTGTGCGCAGATATATATTTTTTTATAACGTAGAATAGCCGTGGGCACCAAAATATGATTATGCGGTAATTTATTATACTAAAATATTTTATCATATTGTAATCTAGTTTGCATTGCCAATGCGTATTTGTTATCCTGTTTGAAAAGTATGTTTGTATGGTAAAGAAGTTCAAGATTCGAAGGTAAAGACTGATCTCACAAAAGTTACTAAGTTCAAGATCAAAAATATGCCCCAATCGATTGGCGATTACGTCATTAAGTTCAAGTAAGACGAAGTCGTTTAAAAATAATAATAATCGATGAAATGGTCGGTCTTTAGCCGAAAAATATTCCTTAAGGCAGTTGACATCTTCAACTCGTTCGGATCGGTCGTGTTTGGGAAAGTGTTTAGAGTAAATTTATTTATGTAAAGATATTTCTTAAAAGCGAAAGAATTATTTGCCTATGTTAAATTATTAAAATCTTAAATATGCATGGGATTTAGAAACACTATCAGTTGTCTTATAATATTTTTTGTCATATGCTGCATAGCAAAAGCCATTGATGTCGCGCGATTAGCTAATTAACGTGCGCAACGAGGAGACGCAAAAATTGCCGAACAACTTCACGCAAAATAATATAAATAAAAATCTGTTAACACTAAACACAACAACAGTGCGTTTTATACAACTTGGTGTCATAAGAAAAAGACAGAAATTTAACTAAAGTTGGAAGTGTATTGTGTACGTCGTACAATAAACTTTGTTAATTTGCTTAAATATTTTACGGAAGTCAGGCGGCGGGTATTCTTCCAACTCCGGTTCGGTTCGATTCATGGTAAATAATTTATTTTCAAGACTAATTTTTATGGTGACTTCTGCAACACCTTTTGCAACAAATATGCGAGTTAAGTTATTATACACATATGTGTTTGCTTGCTATCAAGATAGGATGAGAACGAGAATACTTTTGTTCAGTTAGTCGAACAGCAACAGAGTTTGGTTTTAATGCAGGATTAAATTACTCGATGGTTACTTGAGCAACAAGGCCCAGGTGATGCTTCGACCTATGAAGGAACTTTCCTTTGCGGATTTTCTCAACTCGATTGTTTAATGGCAAGCACGAATTTGACCTGTCGCTTGAAATTGTGTGCTTCCGATCAATTATTGCAAAATATAAAAAAAGTTTAAGTTTCAAGACTTTTTTACACGATATAGAATATTTTGATGTCAAGTTATTTAGAAAAGTTTAATCCTATTGTCGAATAACCGATGTTGAGCAACCATGAGCTTGCATCACCCGCCAAACTATATAGCAATCGATTGGTTTATCAAACGTATTCCGGGACTTCTAAAACTATATTGGGAACTTCTTCGGCTAATCTTTCCTTAACATTATTGCTTTTTATAGGAACGTAAACACTCTCAGTTATATATTTCTTTTCTAAGTAAATTTTAACGCAATCGTTTAATCATCGGACCTAACATACATTTATAAAAAATTCATTTTCAAAATTCAATCATAACTTTCCATTATATGCATATCCATATATGTGTGTGCACGTTCACCCAAACTCTACCTCTCTCTACTTTTGAATGCTAAATGAAAGCTTAAAAATGGATACGAAATTGTTGTTGAATTTGTTTTCTTTTTTAGAGCGAACAACAAACAAATCGAATAGAAGAAAATAAATCAAAAGAGAACATATATGAGGATAGATAGGTAGATAGATAGATAGATAGATAGATAGATATATTGAGTTCGATCACAATCTGTCATATAAACTGGTTTTACGCCGTATGAAAGCATAGAACAATTGCATATATATACATCTTGTCTCTCACCTACACATTTTTATATATGGAAATTCACTTATTCATATGGCCACCACGCAATAGAAAAAAAGTAAGCAAATCTTTATTTGGAAATGATAACAAAACCACTTGTCATCTCTATTTGAAGTTCGTCCCATTTTCCTGTCGCCTATCTTCCACTGAACATGCAAAACAGTAACAGAAACGGATACATCACGAAAGTGTAGGAAATGTATACAGATACAAAACTTTAAATATTTCTCAGGCCCAGACTGGGAGTGAAAGGCTTTTCGCCAACGTGTTAAACACTTTTTATACTATTTCCTCCTCAATCATAAGCATCGTCATCATCATCATCATCATCTTCATCACCATCATCAAGTGTGTTGGTGATGGTGATGGTGATATACGCTGGTGCAGGCGTACAGCAGTTGTTAGTGGTTTTGCTAGAAATTTTGATTTGAATTTTGTTTTTCTTATATATTTAATGCTATTGTGTAGTTGTGTAGTGAGTTTTTATTCTATTTACTGTAAAATCCAAAACGAAATTTACAGGTTCAGTATTTTTCTCTATCATTCAAACAAACAAAATACATACAGCTATGTATGCATTTATGGGCGTGACGTACATATATATATATATATATATATATATATATATACAGAATTGTTGCTTAGAATATTGATGTAGCAATTAAAACGTGTTCAGATTGGTAGCCGTACATGCACAAGTGTCTGAGGTTTTGAATTTATTTGTATAAATGATTGATTTGTGAAAAAGTTACCCCATCTCCCTTCCACCCTTCGACCCCTATCCCTCTCCTATTCCGATTCGTTTCAATAGCAGCAAGTCGATATACAAATACTTTTAAACAAGAGTAGAAAGGATTAAGCTACCTACACTTCAGACTGCCTTTTACGCTTGCGAATAATTCCTATATGGGTTTAATTAAAGTTGAAAAAAAAAAAACAATACATAGACATAAACGCTCGTAGTTATATTTCGCAAATATTTTATGCAATTTTCAAATTTTCCTTTTTAGAAATGTTGCTTTTTTTTCTCTTCCTTACACTTACCCGACATATCCTCACTATGATCATCATCATGCATATCATCATCACGTTCATAATTATTGCTGCTACCGCAGCTCCATTGTCGTTGACTGCTATAAGAGAGTGTTTCATGCGTTTTCCCAGTAAATTTATTCGGATCCAGTATATTCTCAACTGAAAATGCTAAACGTTTTGCTGACTCTTTGTCACTAGTTGTGGTTGCTGATGAAGTGGGCGACGCATTCGCACAGGTTGTCGCCGAATCGGGAACAGAACGCGTTAAGTCAACTGGACAAACCTGCAAAAAAAAAAGATATCACAATTTTTTGAAAAAATTTTGGTTCACTTGACAATTAAATGCATTTGAAAGGAGTCAGCAAAACGACTTACAGTCGCTGAAAGAAAAATTTTTATTTTTACTTTGCAATACTTCGGATATCCTTACGTTTTTTTTTTTTTTTTGCTTCTACTTTGACCAGTGCGATCAAGGATCATGTTACCATATCCGTCCATCGGTCTGTCCGTTGAAAATGTTGATTTCACAAAAGTTAAGATGTGGAGATAAAAATTATGTTAGATTTACATTCTAGCAGCGATGCCACAATATGTGTTCAAAAATAATATGATTGGCTTAAGGAAGTGTTTGTAGAAGAAAATATTGACACAACCTGAGAATCTGAGTTTTTATCAAAATTCGACGACTTGCAAGGATTGGAAGACCCTAGCTTGGACGCTAGGGTCTTCAAATTCAACTCTATATCTCTTGAAACTCGACTCCTGAGCTCATTTGCAGTTTGGCATTTTTCTCCTGCTTGTTTAAGTTACGTGGCTTTCTTAAAAGGGCCAATCATGTAGTCTTGCAACCTCCATAAGAAAAATAGAAACATGAATGCAACATAGGTTTAATTATTTTGCTGCAAAGTACTTACACTCAGTATTAACTATAAATTCGAGAGACCTTGTTATTAATATTAACTGTGAGCACTCGTGACCTAATATGAACTGCTTGCCAAGAGAAGTTGCGAGTAAATTCGGCATTAACTACTCCTTTTTATCCTGACAAGTTTGAATTGAAATTTTTAGACTATTTTGCTTTTCTAGTTGACGGAAGCAGGTAGATTGGTAGATAGATTGACAGAGAGGGACAGATAGGTGGATTGATTGAGCAGAAAGGGACAGACGAGCACACAGATAGAATGAGATAGAGAGGGAGAGAGAATGGTATGAGAAAAAAAAGAGACGGAAACG